TCTCTCGAAGTGTGGCAGTCTCTCGAAGTGTGGCAGTCTCTCGAAGTGTGGCTTCAGTCCCCTATAGGCTCGGATTGCAGTCAAGGTCTAAACAAGGGTCGGAAAGAAGGAGGCTAAGCGGATCCCGAGAGTATGTAGGTCTGACGCCGCGGTCAAGAGACAGACTCTAAATATGGCGGCCATATGGCGAGGAAGGAGGTTGACAGCACATTGCGCCAGGTAGAACGTCGCGGCCGAGAACCGGGGATCGGAGGGCCCGGAGGCAAGCGCGATTGATATCCTCGGAAGTGCAGCCTGTTAAAGATGAATTGGCCACCTTCATGTTTCACGTCGTACTTCTTAGATCATATGGTACTGTATATACTTGTGGCTGACGGAGACGTTGTTCATCCGAGTCGATTCACCCTCGGCTCGGTTGCTGGTGAGATCGTCTTCGAGTAGACCCCGAGTCGTTGATTGTATCTCGGCCGTAATCCCGCGGTGCAGGTGCTTTTTTTCACCCACGCTTGGCACCGGCAGTGTGAGCCACTTGCACCCCTTGCAAGAGGTTTCTCTGGGGGCGCGCAGCTGGAAGTTCTGGCGTAGACACAGTATAGAATTCGCAGCTAACTGGCCGAGCGGTCCAGATCTCGCCGCCTGAGATTGGAGCAGATCAGGACTAATAATATATATGCAAGGAAAGTCGGTTGATGACTTTTCCCAGGACGAGCCCTAAAGGGGTGCCAGTGACCACACCAACTTGTTGGTTCCGGCTTGTTTGGCTCCGCTGCAGAGGCGGCGAGGTTTTCGGTGATCATGCAGCTCGCCTGCCCCGGCCAGTCTCATCTGCCTAGGTGGCTTTTCGTCCCCGTGCCATCGTCACTTCCGTTGTAGGGGAGGTGAAAATGTACATACTCCTGCTGGGCCCCCAGAGCCCCCCAGTTCCCCCCCGAATCCCAAAAAAGCCGGCCGCCGGGGCGTTGAAATGATGGCACGAAATACAAGAAGAGTTTAGCGTCTCGAAGCCTTTCCTGGGCCCGCCGGTACTCGCGGTCAACGGCTTCCGAGCTCCGCACCTCGACGCCTTTATCCTGCGCTTTTCTGAATAACCCCTCTTCGGCTCTTGCGGCGGATTCCATTGTCTCCTCCACGGCGTCTTGTCGATATTAATTTGGGATGAGGCACGGGATCAGCCTCTCTACCCTCCACCTCGATGGTGACGGCCGAACTCACCCCTTGATTTACACCTTCTAATCCTCGGTTCGAAAACCTCGCCACGACCACCCGAATCCCGGTTCAAAGGATGACTCATTCTGGGCATGGCAGATGCTTACAGCCGCACCCTGAGGCCCAAAGCAGCTACCAAATGTGAGGTTGACAAGGCAGAGGGCAAAGTTCGACACGCTTACGACCGACTTCAGCAGGCCAGAATGAACCTTCTCCACAATCTGGAGGTCAGAAAGAGAATAACTACCGCTATCTGCGGGTGAAGCCCCCCAGAAATACACCGCGCAGTTCGGTTGCCTCCACCACGCCTCCGAACACCATTTCGTTGGGGCACGAAGCCCAGAGCATGCTCCAGAATCACCTATGGCTATTATGAGGATCAATCCGCAGTCGATCTTGGCTGGAAATAATGAAGAAAGAGGCGTATCAGAGAGGTGTTCGGACCTGGATTCTAATACCACCAGAGACAGAATCTCTTTGCCTTTCGAGATTCGGCCCAACAATCGGAAGGAGATGGACACACAAGGGGCCGCGACCACGGACGGGAGGTCTTCTCCCCTCCGGCTCCGACAGAGATGATGATGCCGAAGCCGAATGGATTTGCGTCCCGGCTGCCACCAGTATTCTGGGAATGGAGAAAGCGGAAAAGACGGTGAGAGTAGTTTCCCACACACCCGGAATCCAAGAAAGCGACCTTGGTCGCTCCGTTGTCCGGGGGAGTTGACTTTCACCTATGCGGTCGTGATTTCGCGACACGGTTGCCAAACACCTCAGCGGGTAAAGCTGGGTACTCAGTACAAAATTTTAGTTATCTACAGTCCTACTGATTATTATTGAAGTTCTCGGACCGCATTAATCACTTTTGGACCTCGCCGTCGCCGAATCGATAGACAGTCCCTAGTGTTCGCCTATCTGCGGCGCGTTTTGCGACTCTCCCGCAGGTAAGTACTAGAAGCTAGACACAAGGCGGTAAGATACTCCTCCTTTTGACACCCCATCTTCCGCTCTGATGTAGGGGGCAAAATTCTGGCGCTGAGTATCAGTGTTTTAGGGTTGGTAGGCCGGTGAACCGCAGCACGCCATTATTCCATTCGTTCGTCGGAGTGGGAGTGGTCGCGGTATAGTTGAAGTCGACCTCGTCGATGTCCCGTCGATGTCCCACTCCTCATCCGCTTGGGACGATCCTGTCGAGTCTCAGTTTCCCGGGTTAGACCTCCAGAGCCAACAGTAAGGATTAAGACACAAGGATTAGAGCCCTTTCGTTCGGGCACGGTAGGTAAAATACTACGCGGGATGTTCTCTTGAAAGGCACTAGGCCTGGTCCAGATCGGCCATGGAGTGACAACTACTCAGCGCCCAACGTACCCCCATATTGTCAGCGTCGCGGACCCGGGCGGACACAAGATGCAACACCTAACTCGATCCAACCGTCTGGACCTGTCCTCTCACCTTCTATCACGTTCGGCCACAAACGCCATTACATCCCATACGCTCTCTCTCACCACGCCCGTCTCAACTGATCGTGAAACCCAATCGGCCATTCGTCTATGGCGACTTCGGTGGGGACACCACTGACACCCGCCACTTTGTTATATAATGTGTCCCGCCTCCTGCATGTTTTTCTCGCGCCATCGAAGGGAAACCCAACACATTCCCGATCAATCACCTTGCCGAGCATACCCTCACTTTACGACTGGATTTAGAAACGGGTCATCCTTGGAGAGAAGCGCTTCGATGGTCGGACGTCTAGACTGTTCTCGCACCAGGCAGCGCTTCAGGGTATTAATCACTGCAGACAGCACAACTTCCCCGCCTATTCCGGTGTCCGGGATTTGGGATCTCGACGTTGGGGTTAGGAATGGACTTGATGCGCTCTCAATCGTCCTAGATATGGGAGCTGGAGCTACAGCCACGACATTGGCCGGTATCAGCTCCGTAGGGTATTCGACCCCTCGAAAATATCAAACATTCATGGTACAGTCATATTCTGCTCAAATTGAATATGACATGAATGCTCTTGGTTGTTGGGGTGCGGGTGCAACCCTTCAAATCTAGTCATGATCACAGCTACTCCACCACATGAGTTCAGATCCGCCGCAGCTTGAATGCTCCGATGTCGTCCGGTTGATTACTGCTTTGATGCGCTATCTGTGACACTGTATGCAGACACAGC